GCGTCCAAGGTCATGTCCGGCCAGGAGGACCACAGCAATGAAAGCCCCCGGTGGGGGGTGGGGGTGGATCTGGGGATCTGGGGGAGGAAGGGCAGTGGGGATGGGCACGGATGCTCGGCCACATATGGTAAGCATTAGCTGACTTTATGGGGTGAACTAAGCGTTCTGCAGCTGAGAGGCCAGGATTTTTGTTGGAGGGAGGGTGGAGACAGTCTGATACTACTGAGGAGCCTGGGGTAGGGGGACCGTGATGGGGTGAGGTCATTTAAGAGGGGCAGAGATCACAGGACGGGGAGTGTTCCAGCACTGTGCTGACACACCACCACCAAAAATAAATAAAAACTACTTGTTGCAGACTGGTCTGTTTTGTGTTGTGTGTCTATGATCCCAGCTAAGACAGTCCCCAGGTGGGAGCTTCGGAATGCAGTGGGGGGGGGGGGGTGATTGGGAGCTCAAAGTTCTGGTTTGCAGAGCCCTTGTGGTGAGCTGGCTCAGTATTAAGTCTCCCCAGTGAAGCGAAAGTGGGGAAACTGAGCCTCAGTCATAGTGGCCAAATGGAAAATGGTTGGGTTCAGAGTAGGAATTACTGGCCCTTAGTCAACTCCCTTCCCATACCTGCTATGAAAAAGGACAACAATGATGACCAAAGGTGCCCCTTTTCCTGAGAACGTAGTCACCCCGCATGGATAGGACTGGGCTTAGGGTGGGGCTACTTTTGCCAGCCAGTGTGGGCTTCTTCAAAGGAGCAAGGTCACAAAACCCTGTGGGGGTAGGGGAGGGGAGGTGAACAATGCTTGCTATGTGTTAAGCATTTATGAAGAGCTAGTCCTGGGTGATATAACACCGTCCCACTCACCAAGCCACTGTTATTGATCCAGATGGGGAAACTGAGGCATACAGAGGTCAGGTCAACAGCTCCAGTCCTGTCTTCACCTCGAAGCACATCTGCTTTGCTCAGGAGATGGGGTGGAGGTGGAGAGTTGAAGGTCTAATTGTGGGTTTGGACTCTGTTCTACTCTTTCAAGTTGTGAAATGTAAGCAAATGGATGACTGATGTTCCTGGAAAAGTTAGGAATAATTCCCATCTCACAGGGCTGTGGCAAGAAAAGTGAGCTAATTCACACTTAAGAAATGTTGGCCTCCCTTTCTCTAATCCTGAGTGGCAACTGCTGCTAAGTCTGGTCTACGCTTTACCTTTTCCTATCCCACAGCAGCATGCTCCCATACTGTCCACCCATACAGTATTCATGAGTACAATTCAGCTTCTTGACTTCCAGGTGCTCCAAAAATGCCCACAGCCTCTTTGTGTTTTATTTTGTGCAGTTAGCAGAAAACAATTTGTGGGAATTTACTTGAAAACTGGAAAAACCAAGTCAGTATATGGTAGGTTGTGAGAGATCAAAGATATCACAGTTACTCAAAGAAGATAGAAGACCCCTCTGGGAAAAA